GTTTTATTTATTATATATATTTCTTAGTATCTTTTTACGCTATTGGTGGTGGATTTTTTTTTGTTTTTGTTTTTGTTGTTGTAGTAGCTCCGCTTGTGTGTTGCTTTTATTTTTTTTATTACTTGTTGCTGCCCCATTTTTTTTTAATGTGTGTGTGTTTGTGCTTTTTTAATTATTTTTTTTTTTTCTTTTTTGTTGTTGTTGCAGCGTGCAGAAGGTGGGCGTTGCCGTGAAGATGGCGGAATTGGCGCAAAAAGCAGTCCTCATTCAATCCTCCGACACCAACTTTCAGTTTCATGCATTGGGGACGGTGAACGGCCCTGCAGGGGATCAGCTGCAGTCCATTGCGGCGTCTTTGGAGCAGTACGCGGCGTTGGGCTTCCAGGCCTCACACTTTTCACAGGCAGTTGCTATTTGCAAAAGGATGTTGCAGCCACAACCTCCTTCTGCGGCGGTGAAACAATTGACGGGCTCCAACGATGCGAATGGAAAAGATGCTTCATTAACACAAGTCTTGGTGCAACCGACCATTTTTCTTGGGGCGACGGCAAATTTGTTTGGTACGGGCTGTCGCGAGGCGATTCGCTTTCTTTGTAAAGAAAGCGTTTCTTTACCGCATGGTGTCTTGCCAGCGGCCATGCCTGATGAAATGAGTATGCCGAGTTGCGACATTGATGACGAGACGATTCCTTTGAATCCGCCCTTTTATTCCAATGCGCTCATTCATGCGTTGGTCGTGAGTGGAGGTGCGATGGAACATGATATTCGTCGCGCATGTGAACCGTACCGAATCACCAATTATGGAAGCTTTGATGGAACTCCATCACATCAACAACGACAGGAGTCTGCAACGGCAGGGGAGGATGTTGCTCGGTTTGGAAACATAAGTTATGGCGGTAGTGGCACTGGACCAACCTCGTCTATTTTTACTTCCGTCATGCGCCGCCTGGTGTCACGTTTAAAAGCAGCGCAGAAGCGTCGTAAGGACGCCTCTACCGCCAAGCCAATTCCTGCGGTGCACGGCGATGTCTGTGAGTGGGCGTTCAGTCCAAGTACAGTGTGGTACATGGCCGGCCGCTGGCTACCAGAACTTTTTACAGAGGTCTTACGTGAGAGGAGTGGAGGAAACATGGAGGCAGTCGCTGACGAGGCACAGCGGCGTGCTGAGAGCACAGTGTTGTATTGGGCCTCCATGAACGGTGTACCCATTTTTTCACCATCCTTCTCGGATGGGGATATCATGAAATTTATTCTTGACACGGAGGATTTGACAACTGCCTTGCTGAAATTGGATCTTGTTGTGGATATTTACCGCCTCAATAAATTTGCTATGCGTAGCCAGCGAAGCGGAATGATTATTCTTGGAGGAGGTGTGGTGAAGCACCACGTGTGCAACGCAAATCTTATGCGCAATGGAGCCGACGGTGCTGTGTTCATAAACAATGGACAGGAGTTTGACGGCAGTGACTCCGGTGCACGTCCAGACGAGGCGGTTTCGTGGGGCAAAATACGTCTTGATGGCGAATCTGTAAAGGTGTATGCGGAGGTGTCACTTGTCTTTCCGCTGCTGGTTGCGCAGGTGTTTTTGCCTTTTGTGCGAGCAGCGCGCGGTGTGTCGCTAGCGAAAGAAAGTGAATTTTTGTAGAACAACAGGAAAAACAAAAAATAAAAAGGAGAAGCAACGTTTATTATTTTTTACCAGGCGCTGTGCCGTTTGACGTCCTCATTCAGGCATAAGGAAGAAAAAATATGAGGACGCAGAGAATATTTTTAACCACATAATAATAAAAATTTTTGCCAGACATCTCTTTTTTTTTTTTACATTTTGGTGAGGCGTGGGGGATGCCGGAGGCGCTGAAACCAAAATTTTGCATTATTTTTTGTTGTTGCCTTCTTCTTGTGGAAGTAACAGAGGGAGGGGGGAGAGCGGCGCCATTGAAGCCCATATTTTTGTGTGTGTTTTCTCTTTATGTTTGTTTGCGTTTCTCGAAGTAGTGGAGTGAGGCGAGCCTGCAGAGGTTTAGCCAAAGGGATTCCTTACCTTTTGTGCCGCTCTTTTGACGCCTTGGTCGTGGATGGGCGGGGAGCGACTTGTTGGTCACATGCACGCAGGGGTTCCTTTCCTCTCATACCGCAACGACCGTTTTCAACGTGCTGCAGGCACTGACGAACAATACTAGCATCAGTGGGGGTGGCAATCCTCACCCGCACGGTGTGTTGTTGGATGCGGCCATGGCAATATTGATTTTGGCCATTGGGAAATATGTACACCGATTTTTGACGGAAACGTGGCCACGCTGGAACTTGGCGCAACTGAGAAAGTTGCTTTCGTTAGACACCGCCGAGGATGCGGCGGCTGTCGATGTGTTTATAAATCAACCGGAGGAGTTTGTGTTTGACAACGAGTTGTTGGTGTTAGCGCTGGAACGGTACGTCTCGCATTTAGTTCATTCTGGGAACCAGGCACAGCAAGGCGATAGTATTCGTGGGAATGCGAGCAATAAATCTCCGGCAAATTTGTCCTCCCGACTCTTTTACGAGGCAGAGTACTGCTATGGTCCAATTGCACTACTGAAGTCGAGCCACCGCATGAGTGCGGCAGAGATGCTGCAAAAGCATTACTTCCTGTTTACGCTTCCCGCAGACGGTGATCCGACGGAGGTGGAGCCTGGTCTCACAATCTGGTTTCAAAAGCAGTTGGTGAAGGTCTCAGCGCTCAGGGAAGGCAGGATTCTTCCGCGTCGTGGAGGGAAGCCCGTCATGGAAGCCTTTATTCCCCTTAACTTTGACGCCTCCCCAGTAGTAAATGCCTTTACAGATATCCGCACCGCGGCAGAGAACGCAGCAAGTAACGTTCGCGGTACCGAGAATGAGGTTGGTGGTAGAGATGATGATTCGGAGTCTTTGAGTGAAGAAGAAGAAGACGACTCTAGCGCCAAAAGTGCCTGGCAAAACATGAATAAGGTGTTTGTGCATCAAGCAATACTGCAATGTACTGACAAAAGCAAAAAGGGAAAGGAGCGTATAATGGATTTTGCTAGACGTGCGTATGCGTGGTACACCAAAAATGCCGTCGAGCCAGTGGAACGGTACTACTTTCTTTCCTCCACTTCCGAGTTGCACCGTGCCTTGGGGCTGTGTCCAAAACTACCTTCAGGAGCTTTGCAGCGTTGGCCTATGAGGCAATTTGTTCTTCCCTCGGCTGGTTTCAGCTTCCGAAATCTGTTTTTTGAACAGAAGGCGCAACTGTTGGCTCTTCTTGAAGAGTTCAAGCAAAAACAGGGCAAGTTTGCACTACCGGGCGTTGCACATCAGCTGGTTATCCTTTTGCATGGCATGCCGGGTACGGGAAAGAGCGCCATTGTACGCAACATTGCGTCGTTCCTTGATCGTCATATTGTAGCACTACCCATTGAACATATTCAAACGGACAGCGCGCTGCGTGGTGTACTTTCTGGTGCTGTTGTGATCACTGAAGAAGCTGTGTGGAAGAAAGAAACGCGTGGCGGCTCGATGCGGTACGAAGGGTCAGCGTATTTACTGTCCCAGAGTCAGAGACTAGACGTAAGTAAAGTGGTGTATTTGTTTGAGGACGTTGAGGCGATTTCAGATCTCCTGTCATTTCAGTTGCCCGTGAAGCATCAGCAGTTGCTCTCGGACCCCAAAGACGTGGATGAGGGAAAAGAAGGAGTGGAGGAAATGGAGGTGAAGGTGAGGACGAAAAGGGAAGAAACAACGACGGCAAACGTTTCCCACAACAAAGCGGGGAGTAGCTCGTCCAAGAAGTACAACAGGCTGCGAAAAAAGGCCCCCGATTTTGGTGTTGCCGCGGATTTTACGGAAAAATGTGGTCAACTGTTGGTCGCAGACTTTCTTTCTCCTGAGGGAGTTCTCACCGCCTTGAACGCCACGCTTGCGCCCCCGGGGCGTGTGATCGTCTTCACAACAAGTCATCCGGAGAAGCTGCCCGCTCTTTTCTGGAAGCCCGGCGTCGTGACGCTGACAGTCCGCTTGGGTATTCTTAACGCGTCGTCCGCGATGGATCTCGTCAACCGCTACTGCGGTGCCTCTTTCACACCTTCGTTGCGGAAAAGATTGGAAGTGCTCTTTGCGCAGTGCGAAGCCAATGCTGTAGCGGAGGTGATGAACCCGGCGTCACTGTTGCATGTACTGACCATTTGTGATGATGCTGAGGAGGTGCTGAGGGAGTTGGAGCGCTTTTGTTAATGGACTCACATCTCTCTCTTCTTTCCTCTTTCTTTCACTCCTGTTGCTTCGGTGTCCATGTACTCAATTGCCCATTTACTCTTGTTTTTTTTTTTATTTGTATGAACGTCTTGCTTTTACATTGCTTAAGTTATTCAATATTTTTTTCCTTCCCTTCCTGTTGTTGAAATATTGCTGCCAAAATTTTACCTACCACCTTGTAGGAGAATAAGCACACACACACACAGACAATCAGCAACAATGTCGGTTCCAATGATACCCATTGATCCCGATAAGCGGGATGATCTCTACTACCGCTACAAGATGCCCACCATCCAGACCAAAGTCGAGGGTAGCGGTAACGGTATTAAGACTGTTTTTCCAAATATTCATGATGTGTGCCTTGCCATAAATCGCCCGGAGGAAGTACTAATGAAGTTCTTTCAGTCTGAAATCGGCGCCCAGCGTACGGTGCTAGAAAAAGATGACAAGTTCCTCATCATGGGAAGCCATACAGAGGAGCGTGTGCAAGAAAAAATATACGACTTTATTCGCAAATTTGTTCTCTGCCGTAGCTGTCGAAATCCCGAAACGCAACTTTTTGTCGAACGAAACAAGAAGGATGTGCCACATATTAGCATGTCATGTGGCGCTTGCGGTAAAGTGATGAAATTAAATGATCTCGACGCCCGCTATGTGACGGCCATTGTGACGTATTTTGCCAAGAACCCACAGGTTGCGATGAAGAAAGGGGCTGGTACGGCCGAGGCCCGTAGCAGCCAGAAAAATCAGCAGGCCGCTGCCGCTGCCGTGGCCGCTGCCGTGGCGCCTCCCGCTGAACCTGAAAAGAAGCAAATTCAACGATCCGACCTTGAAGATACACGTGAGCCACCGCAGAAAATACTTGCGCGTTGCATGCAGCAGTATCCGGATGAAAGCGAGGAGGTTATGCGACGCTGTATTGAGCTTATGACAACTTACAACTTGAAGGAAAAAATGGGTCCCTTGCTTGTATTAGATGGCATTGAGTTGGCAGAAAAGGAATTTATGGCGGGTCTGCGTCGTCATTCACGTCTGTTAAAGCGTTTCTGCAGAGTTACCGGCACAGCATTGCTTGACGCTGCCACCGACGAGGCTACCAAGTCAGATCTTCTGAGACGCGAAAAGAGGCTGCAGTCTGCCACAATTGAGGAGTGTGCTCGTATCTGCGCAAGACGTTTTGAGCCCGAGCAGATGGTGGTGATCCTGTTTGTCCTCTTTATTGAGGGTGTCCTCAAGAGTGCAACCATTGAGGAGTGGTGTGGCGACGAGAAGCCCATCTCCAAAGTGGACCCTGCCGTGGACAAGAAAATGAAGCAGGCGGCTGCACCACTCGTCGAATGGCTTGTAGGATCGTCATAGGGATTAATTGAGGTATTGTGCTCCCAACTCTTTTCCTTTTTTTTTTTTTTTTTTTTTTATTATTTTTCTTTTTTAAAATCATTTATTTGTTTTTATTCCATTGAGGGTCGTTGTTGCGGGAGACACACACAAATGTGCATACATGATGCATTTCTGCTTATGAGAGGAGGAAAGTGTGTGTGTGATGCAGACCCGCCTGGGACGACGTTATACACCGGAACCAAAGTGTGAAGGAGGAGAGCGCGAACTGCTCGGAGGAATATATTCCACATCAATGGGTGAACAAAATACATGAGTGTATGAGAGGCTCTGGCACCGAAGAGAAAAGGGAAAGTGAAAGGAGAATGAGAGGACAGGCAGCACGCTGAAACGTGCTCAAAGTTATAAATTTGTCTAACAGCATGCCGAAGCAGAAGAGGAATGAGGAAGGAAAGTGTTTGCTGCGCGTTGATTAAAAAAAAAAAAAAAAAGCGGTCAAACTGCCGCATTTAACTCTGCCTCCGCCGAGAAAAATCGATGAAAAGGTGTTTCGGTTGCGGTGCTCGGTTAAAATTGAACCCATATGACAGGAGAGAAGAAGGGATTATGCTTTTTTGTGTCGTGCGCATGGAATTGCGTCATGACTGTTGCTTTTTTTTCCATTTTCTTTTCCATTTTCTTTTTTTGTTGTTGTTGCTACAGTGAAGTACGCGCCGCAGCAACAAGTTAGCGCCTATTGTTTGGGGGGGGGTTAGCCATTTTTTTTTTTGCTTTTTTTTGCGTTAAAAGGGGAGAAGGGGTGAAGTGCTGCCTTCTCTGTTGGGCCTACGAGCGGGTGATCTACGTCAATCGCACGTACATGCCTGGAGAAGGCGCTGCAGCACCCCTGTTGCTCCCGCAGCAGTTTGTGGAGCCATTGCCGAATGCGCCGGTTGAGATACGTGCATTGCATTATGGCCTTCTTTCACGCAGCGACATTCACCGCCTCTCCGTCCTTCCATGCCGACGTGTCATTGGGGCTGTGAAGGAGTATGGCGTGAATGACCCCCGCCTCGGCGTGTGTGATCGTGTCTCCTTCTGCGCGACATGTGGTCTGCGAAGCATTGACTGCGTCGGTCACCCCGGCCATATCGATCTCGAGACCCCTGTCTTTCACCTCGGTTTCTTTACCACAATTTTACGTATCTGTCGTACGATATGCAAACGCTGTTCTCATCTGCTTTTGGATGACGCGGAGATTGAGTACTACAAGCGGCGGCTCTCATCCACAAAACTTGAACCGCTGCAGCGGGCAGCCCTCGTTAAAACAATACAGAGAGAAGCCTACAAGACACGTGTCTGCCTCAAGTGTGGAGGCCTAAATGGGGATGTGCGACGAGTACGTCCTTTACGCCTTGTACACGAAAAGTATCGTGTTGAACCACGCCGAGGGGAAGAGTCTGTTGAAGGCGTCGAAACTTTTTTTGACCATGAGTTGCGCGCGGCATGTGCATACAACAAGGTGGTGGAGGAAAGCAAAGAGAATGTCCATGAATTTCTCGATCCGGCTCGGGTGCGTCAAATGTTTCTAGCCGTGCCACCGGACGAGGTCTTACTCCTTGG